AACTAACCTCAGGCGTGTGCTTCGCGATCTCGCAGATTAGCGTCGCCGCATTCTTTTTCACGTATCCGTCCATGTCCTTTAAGCAGTTGAGGACGTTCGGGAAGATCTCGCCGTCCACGACCGTCTCGGCCAGATCCACCGTGTGCTTTGCGACCTGCGACAGGGCCGAGCAAACTTGACGGCGGAGCTTCGCGTCCGGGTTCGCGAGGAGGGGGGCAATGAAGGGGATCGTGTTGGCGTCCACGACGGATTGGGCGAGCTGTTACCAACCACTCGTAAGATGATGATCTGAAGCGTCGTAAACTGGGGCGTTGACGTACCTCTGGCGAGTGCTTTGCGACGTCGCTCAAAGCCGATGCTGCAATCCTCCTCAGCGACAACTCCGGTTCCTGAACGCACAGGACCAGCAAAGGAATGGCACCTGCGTCCACCACAGCCTGCGCAAGATCTGAATTCCCATTTAAAAGAGATTCCCCCGTATGTGTATCAAAAGGCAGATCCCACCTCCGTTGTGACGTGCGATGTATCCCAATGCCCACGCCGCGGACTCCTTCACCCCCGGGTCGAACTCCTCCAGCGAGCTGACGAGCGCGTTGAGGGCACCAGAGTCGACGACCGACTGCGCGAGGTCCGGAGAGTGCTTCGCCACGGCTCTGAGGACAAAGGCGGCGGCCTTCTTGTAGAACCTCTTCACAGCCCATCAGCACTACTAACCACGGTCATCAAGCGACAAAAAATCACCCACGTTCTGCTCAGAAAGCGAGAAGACCAACTGCGGCAAGATATCACTGTCCACGACGCTCTCCGCCAGCTCCTCGTTGTAGTTCGCCAGCCTTCCCAAAGCCAGCGCGGCGGCGTGCTGAATTGCGGGGATGTTGTCGAGCAGCAGGGGTCTGAGCAAGCTCATCACGCCTGCGCTCTGGAGCGCCTCGATGTTGGACTCCCTCGATGCCAAGTCCGCAACGGTCTGGACGAAGAGGAGCCGCTCCTTCTGGTACTTCTCAAAGACGGAGAGGACCACGCGGGTGTTCGTTACCGGCGGGGAGACCGTCATGGCTGCCGGTCGTGCGCTTCGCGATGGTTGCCGTTGGTGATCACCCCACGAATGTCAAAATTCCCCTTGAATGGCCCACCATCAAACCTGACAGGGGACCGATCTGGGGAGCTGACGGAGGTCGACGCCGGAACGATCCAACCGCGGTGTCCGAGGATCAACGACAAAGTCTGTTTCTCTGGGGAGTGTTCATAACAGAACGGTACGCTGTGGTTTCGTACGTCATTGGATTGTTCAGCGGGCAAACTCGTTGGCTCGATCCCCTATGGCCGAAGCCGGGACGGGGGGCATTTCGCAAGCCGCCCTCCACGGGACAACGCTCGTCGCGACCGCAGCCGAAACGATACAGATTGGACGGGACAGACAACGGCAGCGGATATTCGATGCTGGCGTTGACGGGATTCGGAGATTTACCGGTGGGGGGTGAAAAGGGACTAGCACTGGCAAGAGCTAGCCGTCTTTGTTACAAACCGGAGGGGATTTATCGGACAGCTTTACTAGCGTGGAGGCCGGGTGGTGGTGTAAAGCCACCTGATAGAACCCTCTCAGCGATACGGCGAAGTTCACCACGAACACATTGCTGCTACGGAATCGTTCGGGCGAGCGCTGGATTGCAGCATACTCAAGACGTAAAACGCCGGCAGTCAAGCTGAACGACAACGGACCTGCATCTTCATTCACATCGGACAAATATTCTCCGCGTGCTTGCTGTTGTCGAAATGCTTAGTCGCATGCTCTGTTGGTCGTCAGAATCCGGGCTCGCACGCATGCTGCAGCCGCGGACGCGAGACCGTTAAGCTCGTAACCCTATTCTATGACAGCTCATTACTGCGGGAAAGGAATCAGCCGGCAAGCATTGACGATTCGAGGGCTTCTCGATACAGCGCTTTAATAACATTCAGTTGCTTTAGACAAGCTAAAATCGTGTGCTCTCTTCACAGATCACAACAGCTTCCGTGGCGCAACTGGTTAGCGCGTAGTGCTGTTAACGCTAAGGTTTCTGGTTCAAATCCAGGCGGGAGCGCGTGATTACAATAACGACGGAGCCAAGCCGTCGTCCCCCTGCGGGGATGCCTTATATTTCGTCCTTTCTCATGTTTTTTCTGAATTGCGGTGACGTTTCGTGTTTCGAGGTTGCGTCGCAAGGAGACCGCGTTGCCATCGCCTGTGCGGTCGGGACTGCGTCGCGTGGGCTGCCCGTCAACTGTCAACTGTCAACTGTGCGCTGGTTGTGCAGATGGGCGAATTTGACATATCGGTGGCTTGAGCGTTTTTGCCTTAATTATTGGCGTTGGCCCATTATCACCTCGCATCTCGTTGAACGGCGGGCGGATTACGTTTTGCTCCCTGTTCGCTCGTCCAAATCCATGTGAGGTGTCCACAAAGCCTTGACTCGCTACCCGGGATGGTCTGCGGGGAAGTCGCTCTGCTTTCTGCTGACATCCGACGTTTTCCGCGAGGAAGCCAGAGAAGTGTAAAAAGGATCGGAATGCGAGTTATCGGACAGGCCGTTGGGTCTCCCTGGCCGTTTCCTGGTGTTGCAGTGATAGCCTGGTGCTCTGTACTAACTAATCACTGCTTGCTGGTTTTGGCGCCATTCAAGAAGTTCTGTCTGCGGCGGATGTGGTTTGTAACAACGACGTTGCAGAATGGAATTCGGTCTAAAACAGAAGACCGCAAAAGCGGCCGCGAATGTCCGGAATCTATTATTGGCCATATCCGTTCTTATCCCATACGTCAGCCGTCTCCGCCTCCTCTCACACCGTCCCGTTGCCGCTCCCCAGCTCTCCTCCGTTCCGGTCGATCATCGTTCAGCAACCACCATGGGAGGAGGTCGTCAAGTCCCAGACCCGCCGGCGG